CACCCGTGCCACAGTAAAGAAGGAGTTTGGAGGTGGCCATGTGAAGTACGAGATGTTTGGCACAACCGAGGTCAGAAGTATTTGAAATTCTTCCTGATCTACTGTGACAGATTGTTTTTTTTAAGTGTGATGACGTGTGGTGTTTGACTCTTGTTTGTTTCTTGTTGTGTTTTCAACACTAGGAGGACATTTGTTTGCTGGGATACCAGCGCCATGTGTCCTCCTGCTCAGGTCCTGCCCCGCTCACACTTGCTGAACAAGAGCTGCAGAGGATTAAAATCACAGAGGTGAGAGGTCGCCATACTCTCTGCAGTGTTGGCATTGTTTCACATGCCTTGTGTTCGTAATACATCCTCCTTTCTTTGAAGTGTAACACTTTGATGTGATTTTATTCTTTTCAGTGCCGGGTTAAACAGGTATGTTGATACAGTGTTATAAATTCACATTTGAGCTGGATGGGGAAAGACAAAGAGAACATATATCCATTGTTTGTGATAAGTGGTCATTTTATATAAGTATACGATATATACTATAAGGTATGTATACCATAAAGGAAATGTGAGGCTATGTTATCCAATGATATACTTAATTAAGACGCTTGAAGAGATAGTCAACTCTTTTGTGTTTGTGTGTGTGCGTGTGTTTGCTGCCCCCTGCAGGTGAAGACAGAGATCAGCGTGGAGAGTAAGCACCAGACACTTCAGGGTCTAGTTTTCCCTCTGCAGGAGACTGCCAAAAGAGCACTGCAGCAACTTGCCCAAAAACGCATCAACTACATTCAACTGGTGAGCCGTAGGGGATTAGTTCAAGAGTATGAAAATGAGCTACCTCGTAAAAAAGCCAGTGGCATTTTTCCAGTTTTTAAAAAGGTTATCATCAGGACCAATTAATTCCCCCGTGCTTCTGTGTGGAAACACATCCTGTACACTGTGCATTATTTATGTGTTCCAGAGGTTGGATGTACAGAAGGAGACAATCGAGCTGGTCCACTCCAACCCGACAGAAACTCGTGAATTGCCCCACAGAGTTCCCAAAGACACTCCCAGATATCACTTCTTCCTTTATAAGCACTCCCACGAAGGAGACTACCTGGAATCTGTTGGTATGTCACTGATTTCCTGAAAATCCTCTGCTATTCACATCTGTTTCAATATGTACACGCAGGCACGATTAGGTTCACATCTGTACACCTGGACTGCAGATGCTCAGAGATGTTGAGAGAGAGTGCAAGAGTACATGCCTTCATCCGCATCAATGGTTCCCAACTGTTTTGCCTAGTTGACGCCTTAAAATAAAGCAACAGTTACTTGTGAATTGCATGACAGAAAATGGCTGCTGTGAGCATTTCAACTGAATATCGATTTTTCCTGCTCTATTTATTTACCTTGAGGAATTTGTGTAGGCCTTGGGAGGTGAAATAGTCTGTATTTACAAGAATAAAACCAGATTTTAGGGACACATTTGATGTAAAATAAATACATTTTAAAGATCTTAGGGACCTCTTTTGGGTGTTTGTTCCCTGATCCACATCAACATAACATATTCAAAAATATGTTGTCTTTTTTTCCCCTGCCTGCAGTGTTCATATACTCCATGCCAGGATACAGTTGTAGCATTAAGGAGCGGATGTTGTATTCAAGCTGCAAGAGTCGACTACTGGAGGACGTGGAGAAAGATTACCATTTGGAAGTTGCTAAAAAGGTAACAAAGGGATACAAAGATAATTTAAGACAGTTTAATACATGGTTGTAGTATCCATTATACAGTCGGGTCATGTTCTCTGAAATATTTTCATTAAAGAACGAAATGAAAAAAAGATATTCAGTGTTTCTCCTCCAGAGTTGTTGTCTTAGCCCTGTGAAAGGCTTTGAAAGACACTCAGATTTGAAGACAGAATTTACAGAAAATCTAACTGAATTGTTGATATATAAATAATAAAACAAATAAGGAGGGGATGGTTGCATTAGGGGGATTAGAAACATGACCTCAGCATTTCTTAAATCCTGGTTTCAGTCCTGGTTGTATTCACTACCTTTAAATGTAATTTATGTTCATACTAAACACTACTCATTCACCTGCATGCTTGTTTCCATTGTTCTGCCTCTTGTGCAGTTGGAGATCGATGACGGAGACGAACTGACAGAGGACTTCCTGTATGACGAGGTCCATCCCAAGCAGCATGCTCACAAACAGGCCTTCGCTAAGCCCTGCGGCCCAGCAGGAAAAAGGGGACACAAGCGCCTCATTAAGGGGACAGGAGGCACCCTACAGAACAGCTAGAGGCGGACCCCTTCCTCCCCATAGTCCCCAGACCCTCTAACACCCATAGGCCCAGAGGAACGAGCACAGTGGTGGACTTCCTCTGCTGCTTGTGTACAACACTTGTGCTTTATAAATATGTTTTTGATTATACAATAATGGTCAAATATATGTCTCTCCCACAGACATATCAAGTCTTATAAAGACAAACTATAGATAACATGTGTAAGAAAACATGACACAAATCCCTAATCAAAAAACAATCAGGCTAAACACTGACAGATTAGCTTGTTGTTGTATAGCTAATCTGTCTGGTTCTTTCATACGTCAAAAATTGATTTCTGCCGTTTACAACATACAGATTACAAGTTTTGTATCAGCAATGTTTGTATGAGAATATGAAAGGAAATTCCTAATAAATGTTGTTTATACTGTGATATTAGACCTTCTTGATACAAATGTGTGTGTTTTTATTCAGCATGCAATGTTTAACCCTAAATATATATAAATATATATATATAACTCTGAGTTAAATCTTTAAACTAACATCTGTCTTGATCATAACAACCAGATGTATTTTTTTTCGCACATTTGAACCCTTTAAGTTCTATTTGGTTTACATATTGCCACGGATAGCAACAACACTGACATTATACAGCAGCAATAGGTGGAAACCATGAACAAAATCATTTGTTTTTCCCACAGGGAAAACATGATAAAGCCGTTTTAAAATACCATTTTGAAGCCAGTGCTCTATATTGAAATACATACAAGTGCATAGGTACATGCTGTAATGGCATCAACAAATGGTTTTTTTAAGGGGACATTTTTGTCCTTAGTCCCTGAGTGTATTTAGCTTCACAGTTCATTATAGACTTATTGGAGCTGTGGTTGCACTTTTAAAATTCAGAGGAAAAACTGAAGCCACATTATAAACATGTAAACCCCATTGCATTAACTTGGCCAACATTATTGTAAAATTAAAAAGCCATAACTATTCCAAGAAAGGCACAAGGGTTAATCCATGGACTTAGTGTTGTTTGTGGCCTAAATCTCAAAGAATAGGAGTTTTAAATTAGACCAACCGTTGTGAGCTACCAAGGGGACAGCCCTCTGGTCATGGCAGTGAGGCTGCAGTGTTTGAAACGCTACACCGTGTTGATTTAACAACATCAGCAGGAGTTCAGGCTAATGTGGTCTCAGAATACAAAAACAATGCGCAACTCTGCCAGCGTCAAACGACGAAAGGTCAATAGTTACAAAATCACTTTTCAGGGCTTTTTTAATGCAGACACTCTTTTTCAATTTGTTTTTTAAATCTTCACAGTCTGTGTAGATGCTGCATACTTCTTCAACATGCTTCTGCAAAACCTCTGAGGAACTGGACCACACTCTTGTAGTCTGCCACTAATGAGTGCACACACAGCAGAGGGGATGCTCTCTCTATAGGCTGTTAGTCAACTAATTGGTCATAAAGGCTCTTGGTTGACTAAGAAATCTTAAGCTGATTAGATGTGTATATGGTTTTATTTTGAGGGGTGCTCACATGCTCACAATCACGTTATGATCAGGAATTATAACTACCAGGTCAACCGCCTATAGTTTATGATTTGATAATTAGCACTGAACACAACTGCTACAGGCACTAATACAGGCCGATGGGTTTCATTTGATTAATACTGATTTTATAAACTAAAATAATGGACATAGTCAACTTTTGGCTTCATGGTTGTTCTGTATGTAAAGTAAGGATAACACCAAAAGCTGTTAAATACATCTAGGGACGATGACTTTTACTACTAGCTTTCACAACTTTTAACAACCCAATATTAGTTCAAATGTTTCAATCTGGACTAAAGTGGTGGACAAACCAATTTCCATTGCTATCACTAGAGCAAAGCTGCAACTATGGCAAAAATACCTCTGACAATCTGATTAACATTTTGCATTGTGCAGTGCACTGTCGTTATCACATTTATTTGCAAATTAAAGTAACCAAATTATAGTTAAAATTGTTGGACGACAACAAACCTTGTGTTCTGATCCCTGTGAACAAAGCTCTGCTGATGAATAAAGTGTTCTCTCAATACCCAGCGGATGGATTTATGTTGCTGATTCAAGGCCATTAAAGCTTTTCTCAGAAATACTCTGGATAAAGGCCCTTTTTTTCCTCCATGTTGGAAGAGACCAACAGTTATTCCTTTGTCTCAAACATCTTATCAATTCTTAGAACATTCTCGGTATGTTAAAAAATGGAGTAAGCTTACCCAACCAGTAACAACCCAAACTATTTTTTTTTATCTTTTGAGGAATATTTTATTAGGTAGGGTTTAGTCGACATCACTGTTCAGACAAAATATCTTCATATACGAACAATGAAAACCAAAAACTGTGAATTACTAGATTTTTAACACAAGTAACAATATTAAATTGTTGTTATAGGAACACAAATTATTTGCCTTTTCTGTATATTATCCGTGTTTTTTTTAGCAGCAAGAGAATTCCAATGGTTTTTGCTGTATTTGGCCTTCAACAACACACAATCTTTCTGAAGCCTCAATATCTCTGCAGTGATACACAATGCATGTGCTGCTGCACCTGAACAAAGATAAGAGGTTTTTCTGAAACCAAATGAATGCTGTATAGTTTACTGTTTCCAGAAAACTTGCCCGGTTTAATCTTATTACCAAGATGGGGAAAAGCACAATTACTAGAATTCACTCGACAAAGTATAACAATAAAACAACAGACAAGCAACATACTTTATTTCCGGTTTAATGGGCCTCTAATCACGTCATAACCGAATAATCACCACATAAAAAACAGTTTTCGCCTTTCTTTGTCTTCTTCTGAATCGACTGTCAGGATAGTGTAACACAGAAATTATGCAAATCCCAGAATAGGGTTTGTAATCTGAAAATAGTAAAAAGGGAAGCTCTGCATACTCAGGTGCAGCTCAAGTAAACATAGGAAATATAGTTCACAATTGTCCAAACAAGAGCTGAAACAATTCGTCAATTTCTCCATTAGCTCAACAACTGATAACAAATCTAAATCCTTTTATTTATTTGTTTACATGGTCAATTTAGAACCAAACCCCCCCCCCCCCCTATCCTGGTTTCCATCATTATTTATTATTCTCCCTGAGTTTTAATTTCCCTTTTTTATTTGTTATAACTCATAAACCATCCTCATTACAAAACATACAAACCCTAATCTAACATGACATGTCACAAAGACCAGCAACTAAACTGTCCTCAAAAAACCAGACAAGTGAAAATTAGACATCAGTCACAGTGTTAACATCGAGCTGAAGGTTGATACAGTATGTTCCTTTCATCTTCAAATTCTTAGTAATTTCTCTGCCTTCCCAGTACAATGTTCTCCAGTTACCAACTGTCCCTGGAGTCTCTGCGCTCCTAGAAAATATGCCTTTTCATATTATATACTTTAGGACAACGTTCAGTTTGAAATGCTTTGTATATAACATTCAAACATGTAAATCTTCCTTTATGAGGAAGGTAGTTTCTCTAAATATTGGTTATGGTTATTTTCACGTTTGTCAGATTCAGTTAATGTGCTTTGTTTGACTGCTGAATATTGCATGGTGCCAGTTTAGCAAACAAGATCATCCTGTTACATAATAAATAATAAAGTAAATCAAGATAAAGGTTCACGAAAAATAACTGCACTGTTCTTTTCCCCCCCTGAACTTAAAAAAAAACATAATGTTCAAACGCATCCAGCGGGGTAAATAAGTCCACAATTCTTCCTAGGGGAAAAGCACATTTCAGGATTTCTTGGAAAATGTGGAGATTTAGAAATTATGGAGCAGCATGCTTTGGTTATGATACAGACATGTTTGATATGTTTGTGTGAGTGATGGTTCAGACTTTTGAGTAAATATTTAAAACACTTAAACAACTAAATGGTGAAAAACCAGCTGCCCAGCAGGCCTTATTTGGCCTGAATCTAGTCATTCAGAGTAAAAAAAAAAGTTGAACTGACGTGGATTTCCTAGAAAGATTCCCTAGAAAATAAACGCAGGAGGGATTAATAAACAGAAATATTACATTCTCAACCTGAGGCACGGCTTTTGGATAACAAATCAAGCGTAATGCAACACAAAAGACAGGATTAGAGGGTGGAAAATACCTTGGCAACATCACATTTGTCTCTGCCTGACAGTAGTGTTAACTCGTTTTATAGTGTATTGTCACAATAACAACTTCCTTTGTCGAGCGTAATTACTCCGGCAAACCTCCGAGAAAACCTCTCGCAGTGTTTTTCCACCATGGATCGGGAGAAATCTATATTACTGGAAACAGGCTGTGTGTGCATTCCTATTATCTTTAATGTCGAGGCGGTGAATTCCCAGAAAGAGAGCTCTGTCAGGGAGGCCCGGCGGGGCGGAGTCAAGCCCTGCAATTATTCCTGGAAAGCGAATAGGGGGAAGCTGCCGCGCGATTCCTGGGAGCGAGCGCTCTCTTCAGCCTGTGGCCCAAACACGGGGGAGAGATGAGTCTCAAAACCAGACACGGGGAAATGACCGGGCTCACCGCGGTGTTATCCTGAGAATCAGCCGAAAGAAAAACAAACATTTTTTCATCAGCAAAAGCGCTGCTAAAAACCGGAGCTGTTAGAGCAAGACAACCAGAGGCGAAATGGGAGTTGGTGCGGCGGCTGTGACGTCAGAGCCGCCGGTGCTGTTCTCAGAATAGTCTTCTAGGAAACGGTAATTTTTAAAAGCCCAGCCTTTACACTCTGTCCTTCACACATTTGGATCCCATTCTGGTGACAACACACTCCAAACCGCTGCTACGGAGATTTCTATGTTTTAAACGTGTTGTTTTCATGTTTCTCGTCCAGTGTTGTTCTTATTACAACTACAGGACCAGAACATTACTGACTGGGTACACCGAGCTCTTTTATCACCGATTTGAACGCTTTTTGTTTTGTTTTGTGGAAGTGCTTTTTCCTTTCTTCGGACGGAGATCATTGTCTTTATGTTTCGTTATTTTCTGCGGAAGAAACACTGACCGGATCTTAATCTGCCGAGGATTTAAGGAATAGCATGATTCTTTGTGTACCAGCGTGAGTTGACTTTCTTTGTATATGCGTTTTCTATTTTATTGTGTGCGTTGAGAATCCTATCAAAACCAATTATATGTGTAAAAGTAATAGCCTACACATTGTATTATTGTTACGTTTTATCTTAGTCTAACAGTGTTAATTGTACATGTTTTCTAGGAATCGCAACTATCCAACTCATGTATACCAATTACAAATGGCCTGTAGAACGGATAACAAATATTAAATGCTCTTTATCAAAAACGTCTTAATTCTATCAGTAGAAATTAAGTTTAACCTTTATTTAACCACGATGGACTGATTCAGGTTAAAATGTTATTTAAGGGTCATTACCAAAATTGCCATCAGTAACAGACAAAACATAAAATATGTCTAAAATAAGTATTACATATGTATGTATTTAATTACATACAATTACAACTGAGATAATTCATAAGAATAAATATTCACAGTTTGTGCTTCTCAAGTTTAAAGTGGACAAAGAAGTGAGCAAGTGAACGCCTCCATCGGTTCCTTCATATTTAGCAATAAACACTGAACTCAAAATAATTATGTACCTTAACAAGGAAGAGCAAACCCTGCATTGACTATTTTCTTTTATGTTTTTTTAAAACCTTGTTTTTCACTTTATTTACAGTCCGAGAGCACCTCTGACTGCTGCTCCGTCCACTGATACCCCGAGGGGGATGCGGGCAGGAACAGCACCTACCCCTTGCCTTCAAAGCACCCCCCCACTATGGGACCCAACAAAGGACCTGCGGGCGATTGCCAGCAACTTCTGCTATCTAGAAAACTCAGGTATGAAAAGTGTTTAACACTCACACTCTTTGTAAAAGATTTAGTCAAATGTCATAATTGTGGAAAATTAAGCAACAAACAGGGCAGTAATAAGGAGTGTTCAGAGTGATTAATATTTAGGAATGTGTGTGTGTAGGATGGTACTGGGGAGCTGTAACTGCAGCTCAGGCCCACGCTGCGCTTCAAGAGGCATCTGAAGGAGCTTTTTTGATACGAGACAGCAGTCACCCTCTGTACATGCTGACCCTCTCCGTCAGGACGGCACGAGGTCCCACCAGTATTCGGATCCAGTACAGCGGGGCACAGTTTTTGCTCGACTCCAGTTCCCCAGCCAGGCCAAGCCTGTCGTCCTTCCCCAACGTGCCCAGCCTGGTGCAGCACTACATGGGGCCAGGGAGGAAAGCAGAAGAGGGCAAGGTGTGGGAGGAGGCCCCTTCAAAACCCTGTCAGCAGACAATTCAGGAGACATCTGTGGTTTTAAAACTGAAGCGGCCCGTGTACAAGCCGCAGGGCCTCCCCTCCTTACAGCACCTCACTCGCCTGGTTATAAACAGACACTCTGACCGGCCCGAGCAGCTCCCACTCCCCAGGCCTCTGCTGCGTTACATTCAGGACTATCCCTTCAAAGTATAACGGGTGCCTCATGATGTTGTTACATTTAAGGACAAATAAACTGTCAAACAGGTCTCTGGTGCCTGAAAATGACACCGCTGCTCCAGCAGTTGGAGGCCAGTCACGAAACTACTGGACACAGGGTGATATTTTTTGCTGAAAAATGTGTATAAATTCAGTTTATACTGACGTGCCTGGTGCCACACTTGATTGGTCGAGGATTGGGTGATGAAGTACGAAGACTTGTGCGCAAAGATGTACTGTAATCACATATTTTGTGATTGATGTGGGAATTGTCCATGTCCATTTGACCCTCATCAGTTCTGGATGTACGTACTGTTTCCAATAACTACACTGATTCCATTAAGACATCTTCTATGCCGTTTTATTTTTCTCAGTAAAACATTTTTTCTACCTTTTACATGTGTACATTTTTCTATTAAAATAATGAACTTACTTGCTGTCTTCTTAATCATTTTCACTTCCTCATCCTTATTATTCACCACCACATGATGGTCTGTTTTTGAGTCACTTTTTCACAAATCACCTTTGAACACAAAGACTGGCCTTTGAGCTTCAAGTGTGTGAGATGCAGATTGTGTGAGGAAGTGAAGGCCACATTGTGAGTGTGTATGTGTGTGTGTGATTTTGCTCAACAATGCGTACAGCCTGCATCTGTGTCAGCGAGTGGATGAGGAAAGGGGAGGACCGTTCATCAGCGAATTCACAGAAGTACTGAGAGCTTCCTGGGAGCGGGAGGGAGATTCTGAGAGGGAGGGTTCTAAGAAAAGCCTCAGTAATTACCTTCAGCTCTGAGCCTGCTTTTTTGCCATCTCGCACACATTTTATTGTGGCGGAGGATGTGATAACAACTGTTACCAGGTGAAGTATTACAGTGACATGAAAATTATTTGAGCCACGGCAGATTGTGAATATTGAGTGATCAGATGGGTGCGAGCGCGCGCTCGGCAGCTCAGTGGGGGCGGGGGGGCTGAGGCGACCTGGGCTAATGCCAGCGTAATAGGATCTCAGTTTCTCAATCCAGATCCAGCTTGTGGTCCTTATTCGACTTCTCTTTGCGAAGGATGCAGAAACGCGGCCTAAGGAACAAATACAAATCAGGATTTAAGACTTGAAATGAGGAAAACAACTAATGGGGTGTTAATGAGCTAAGTATTATAATTTAGTTAAATATTTGAACAGTGAAGCCTTTTAATCAAATAGAACTGATGGGGCTTACTCTGACGTTACAGCGGGTTAAAGAGATCTGCACAAACCTGCCGCTGATGTCGTGCCTTGTCTCCACATAATGCATCTCTTCCACATTCACCTCCACCCACCGTTGAATGAGCGGAGGGTGTCTGGGATCCACCTCCAAGTAAACACGGCTGGCAATCACCATAAAGAAAACACAGAATAGACAAAAAATTAATGATCAGGACAGGATTAGCGGCAGCACCCATGAGATGAGAGCAGGGGCACATGTCTGGAAGTGAATTCACTGGAAGCTTACCTCTTTAAAGAGGCAACACGATACCCGTACTTTTCTGAACATGCTGTTCTTGTGACAAGCTGCCGCCGTTTAGGAATTAAACCCAGGTGGGCTGGCTTGCCTGCGTGTGCGCGCGCGCGCGTGCGTGTGTGTGTGTGTGCGTGTGTCGGGCAGTGGGGTTCCTTACCCATGATCTGATAAAATCTGTGGAGCCAGAGTCAAAATATGTTTGATCACTTCTAGGCCATCGTTCCCTCCATCCAAAGCAGCATGGTCTTCAAACCTGGGACACCAGAAAACACATAAATACTTGAATTACATTTGGTACATTGAAAAAAATGTAAACTACTTCTAGACAATGCATGCAATTTTTTACTTTGGCTACTCTGAAGCGAGCATCACATTAATTATATACAATTACATATTTTAATATTTTATTTGTTAATAAATTATTAGTATGATTATATTAAATGCGGCAGGTTTAAAATGAATAAACAGTTAATGAAATGATATATAGCACAATATATCACACCGTACTGCCTAGAAAACCAAAAGGAAGTTACAATGTCTTTGGTCATCATTTAGAAAAGAACAGAATCAGATCTGTTGACATCTGTTTAACACACAACATGTTCTTATGCTCTAAAAGTCTTTAGTTTGAAAGAAAACAGTATATTAAGTTAGGAGTTACTAAAAACTCTTACTTGCTAAGAGGGTTGTTCAAATCATCTGTTGCACTCAATAAATAATTGAGAGCAGCTTGATACATTTTCCTCTGGGCCAATCAGAGTGTGACAACAACCTTTCTTATGTGTTTATGTTCTTGTCCAGGAACTCTGGCTTCTTTACTTTCTAAATGTTTCTGATTGAGGGTGATTTTGAGCATGTCACCTGCATCAGGGCAGACTTCAGCACTATTGGTGCAGGACCTAATGCTTGCATGAAAATATTTTAACACTCAGGCTTTTGTTTATACTTTTACTTTTTTAAGCTTTTCGGGATTAACTATTTAGCAGATGGATTTTCTTTTTAATTGGCAAAAGGACTGTTGGCCAAGACGCAGGAGACGTGAGGCTACCTTATTTAAGTTGGATAACAAAATAAATCACCATGATGTTAGATTGTTTATAGTAACTCTTAAATTAGTCAAGGGAAATGGGACATCAATATTACAATATGGGACAGATACAATTATTTAAAAAAAAGGAGAAGTCACCAAAATAAAGTCAATAAATTATTCAGAGCACATTATAGGGATCATTATCATCATCATCTATGATAACAAGGCATTTATAATGTATTATACATACTTAAATACATGTGTATACTCCAGTTGAGGATACTTCATAGGAAGAGTTTTAATTGTTACAAAAATCCAGGAATACAGAGTTTATACTGCTTATAAAGCTCATGCTATGGGGAGGTTGAATACAAAGGTTTGGAGAGGCTGAATGTGTTTTAATCACCGATAAACTTCAGGTTCCAGCGCCGTCATATCCTCTGAAAACAGGTACGGGGGGTTGCTGACCAAAACAGAGACAGAGCTACAGAGGCTCAACACTGTTTCTGCATCTGGAAAAAACACATTTGAAGTTTGGGTAACATTTCATGATGCCAGTGTTTATAATGCATTCTAATAGTTATAGCATGGTATTAACAAAGTTGAAAGAAAGCCATTCTTTATGCTTTATAACACTACTGATAACACAGACTCATAAGGGCTATCAAAGCACATATCATTCATTAAGAGGTGATAACAAGTTACATTGTGGTCATTCTTGCTTTAAGAAAAACAAATATTTTACAATGTTGTGTGTATTGTTGGCAAAGGTTAATGACAAGGATTATAATGCAAAATAAAAAGAATTGTAATGTATTACAACAACAGGGATTATAAAACACAATATATGACTTGACTTTATAAGACCTTTGATTGACCCTCTATGACATATTTTGTTAATTGTTTATAGAACATATTATATATGTTAGGAAAGTGCTTATCAGCAGTATGTTTAATTCACTGCTTTCCCTTACCTTTCATTACATCTAAATGATGGATTTGTAACCTGTCCTGAAGCCCCAACCTGCAGAGGAAAATCCTTCATCAGAGTTTATGCCTCAACTAAAACACAACGTTTATTGTAAGTCTTTCACCGCAATAAAGGTAAATCAATAAGAACATTTACAACTCCCTTTCTTGGGCTGTGGTTAATTACCTTAAAGCATTTTCTCCTGTTAAATCCACCGCATCCTGGCTTTGATCCACAGCGATGGCTTTAAGCTAGTGACAGAGAAACAAACACAGCCATTTCAAGTGCTGTTTACTTTTTGGATACACATAGCTCAGGGAAAGAAGTGTGCATGAGAACGTTAAAACTCGACGATCTGTTTAACAGCTGAGACAGAAAAATAAACACAAAGCTAACCTTCTGACAGGATAGTGGAAAGTACGCCTGGGTCAGTGAGCTGATGTAAATACTGTGCTTTGTCATGTGAAGACAATAACTTATTCTCTGAGGTCAGGAACACCAAACTTATCTGGGGACCATAATTGTCTTGACAGAATACGGTGCCAACACATTTGTCATTGCTGAAATATTTCACTGAATAGATGAAGATTTTGAACTGCTGGGGTCGCGTTTGGAGTCACACACGCAAGCATCCCCAGTCAGAAAAATAATCATGATGGCAGGCTTTATTCTCTTGGGAATACGTTAATCCATCAAATATTTGATGAGATACTGACATTCTTAGAGGCTCGTCGCAAGCGTGTTAAAAAAATCTTCTTCCTTCAATCAACACAAATCTCACCTGAGGCCAACTCTTCAGCAGACTGAGAGAAATAGCACCAGAGCCACATCCCACTTCCAAGCATGTTTCCTGTGTACCAACTTCAGTTCCTGGCTTCATCTGCAGATCAGTGAGCACCAGTTCAACCAACTCCTGCACCAAAAAAAACATGACTCTGGTTATGAATGATTGATCACTGTAGAATTGTGTGTCCTGTTTTCCTTCTGTCAAACCTCAGTTTCAGGTCTTGGTATGAACACAGGAGGTTTCATCTTCAGTGTCAGATCTCTGAAGTCCCACTCTTCAATCACATACTGCACAGGCATCCTACAACAAGAACACACATTAATGAGTATTCTAAGTAAAACATATTTAAACAAAGGTGTATTTCAACTATTTATACCTGGATAGGCGTTTAGAGCAGAGCTTCCACATCTGCTCAGTTTTTTCTGGACTGAGAAACTCTGTTAACTTCCCTTGCTCAAGACTTTCTATCTGGATAATGAAACAATAAGTAGAAACAAGTAAGAATGCTGTCAATTGTGAATGTAGCTATTCAGACATATGAGGCAGGATCACCCATAAGGGGACAAAAAAGGAAACTATTTATTGGATCTAGCCACTAGTTCGGGGCCAGCAAGGATCGTGACCAACTATTATTTAATGTAAGCACATGTCTGTGGGCAGGTCTCACATCAGGTAATGCTGAATGAGCCCAGCAAAGTTCCACTTACAGTTTTAGCCCCGAGCAGATAAGCAAGGATGTAATGGCTGGAGTGGTCAGGCTCCGTCACGCCTCTCTCAGCAAAGTGTCTTTCCCATAAATCTGCTGCCTGTCGAGCTGTGATTCGGCCTGCAGGTAAGGCTGGAGCGCTGCATGACCGCACTGCATGGTAGCCCCAAAGTCCCTACAAATGAAAATAAGAAGGTTTAGAGTTATCAAGCTTTGGTTTCTACTTGTGCCTCCCCTTCAGGGAAATCACCATATGCTCAAGTCAGATTTATTGTTAAGATTGGATTTTATTGTTTGGCTGGTCACATGCAAAATCTTTCAGATTTGGGATCACGTACGAATTTTCAAATTAAAAGCCTGCAGTTTTACATAGTCTAGTGACACATTCTGGTTTCCATCACATGACCTTCGTCACCCACACAGTCCCCTGATTCCTACTTC